ACTGAATGAATAAATAACCCAACGCTAGCACAGATTATAATTTTGCCCTTGATTTTTGAATCCACATCTGAGACTTTATACAGTATTATTGCCGAGTTTCACTGTTGTGCGCCTCTCTCCAGACCTTCAGAACACCCACAGGGCATGAAGGGAGCACGAGGCATCAGGAGAAACTTTCAGGAGTGGTTGTAAGAGAACAACCTGGGAAGGGCGACCTCTCAGGGCACATTCTTGATGCCACGCACAAAGCATCTCCTCGTGCACCTCTTGAGGGTTCATCCTTGTCTCTGGACGTGCTTTGTGCTGATAAAGAATAAAGAAAACAGAGGAGAGCTCTACCCAGGTTTGTTCAGCCAGGGTTTAATTTCTCCAGTGTTCCCATGGAAATTGTGTCAATAACAAAACCTGGTGTCTCTCAACCTAATCATCCCTTGACACGTTCGGTAGGATATAACATGGTGACACAGGCACTAAGGAATTAGAATAAATTATGTCAAAGGAAAAGCTCCCTGGTAGCTCTGACATGACAGCCTGCACAAATCTAATTTAAATATTCATTCTGGGTAATGGAACAGCTATCAACAAATTCATTACTTGCGACAATATTTTCACTTCAGCTGCCAAATGACGAGGGGGTCCCCATAATACGTTGCTGTCAGCGGTTTGCCTCAGTAAGAGAGAACAAGTACTTACATTTCACAAATATGTATGGATCATACTCTTTCAATTTAGAAAAGGGACTCAGCCTCATTTTATATTTTCATGAAATCACTTTCACAAGGACATTAACCTGTAAATCACTTCATGGAAAGAACTACAAGTTGGACAGCAAATAATGGATTTGTTTAACGGGTCCATGTCTTGTTTTAAATATATACATTTGTAGCTTCTGTTGCCTCCTAGTTAAACAATTTCTTCTCCTATACTACTCTCTAGCTTTTTACAAAAAGAGTCTTTCTTGAGTAAAGCAGCTCGACAGGACGGTTATCACCTAGCTTGGAGAACTGGAGGAAGAAGACATACGCAGAACACACCTCATCTGTTAATTTGCCTTTCTAGATACCAGATATTGTGACAACTCTACCTTCTTCTGAGTGGCTGGGGGATTTAGATATGAAGGTGGGCAGGTTTCCACTATGTCACATTTTTCTTTAACAAAACGGAGGGAAATGAAGAGATAGTATCTTTGTCTTTAGCCAGGGTAAAGAAAATAATATATATGTATATTTCTCTCCTTTTTTTTTTTTTTTTTTGACACAGAGTCTGTTGCCCTGGGCTAGATTGCCCTGGTGGCAACCTAGCTTACAAGCAACCTCAGACCCCCAGCCTCAAGCAATCCTCCTGCCTCAGCCTTCAGAGTAGCTGGGATTACAGGCGCCCACCACTATACCCAGTTAACTTTTCTATTTTTAGTAGAGACAGGGTCTCATTTTTGCTTAGGCTGGTCTTGAACCCCTGAGCTCAAGGGATCCTCCCCCCTTGGCCTCCCAGACTGCTGGGATCTCAGGTGTGAGAGTCTGTGCCTAGCCTCGGGTATCTCTTTTGAAAGGCAATGTTGCCAATGGCCCCAGACATAGGAACATGTAATCAACAATTTCCAAATTCATTATGAAGCTGAGAGTTTTTCATATTATTTGACTCAGTAATTCCAATTTTAGCTAAAGGTCAGTATCATAGCTATGGTCAGAGATTTGTGTACAAAGTTTTTCATCAAAGCATTGTTACAGTGATTAAAAATACAGTGAAAAATCCTTCAGTATTCATCTAAAATAATTAAAACACATCCTTACAATGAAATATTAAGCATCCATGAAACTGGAAAGATTTCACAGTATTCTGGTAGATGAAAATGCAGATTACAAAGTAAGATACAGAGTTCTGCTTCTGCTTAGATGTAGAAAGTCACTAGAGAATGTTGTTCCCATTGGAACAATGAGAAAAAGCTGAATGATGTGTATAATACCAACTTTTTTTGAGCCTCTGAAGAGCTACGGTCACAAGGCAACTAAGTAAATTTAATTCCAAAGAATCATAAGTCCATTTAAAGGCTTGAACTCCTTCATGAACTGCTTCAGTTTTGGCAAAGCAAGGGAGAAAGACGTGGCTACTATCTCAGTAAATAAGAAGAAATCAGCTAGACATTGAGCACTTTGCTAGAGGCCAATATGTAATAGCTTGGAGCCTCCCCCACAGGGAGTTTTCTATAGACCCCCACTATTTTCTATAGGACCTCACTGGGTGCTCACAAGAAAGGCTCCGGACAGGCTAGGAGACCAGGACCCTCTGCTGCAGACACGCTGGAG